CCTGTCATGGCTGGTTATCAGCAACTCTCCATCCTGTGACCTCTTCGGCCCTAACTAGAACTACAAGAATGTCCCCAAAAGCGTTTGAGCAATACTGAATTTTAAGAAAGTAACGTTAAAGCATTTTTGAGTCTGCGTAAGTCTTTTGATTTTAGATATATAGTTGTTTAATAGCCAAATGGTTGAGTTTAAAGCTTATGAATTTTAGATTTAAGGAATTTCAATTACAATAATATTAAGAAATAATATAATAACTTACAAGTTGTGTCACGAAATGTTGGGAATGTGATTGAGGTAGTGTTTTTTTAAAAATTTAAAAATGTTTTTTAAATTAATATGTTATATTTTCAAATTATATAGACTCGTGAGGATGTTAAAAATAATTTAAAAAATATATATTTTAATATATTTTTAAATAAAAAATACTTTAAATAATAATCATTATTATATTTTCAAATACATTAAGTAAAAAAAACATCAACATCAAAGTTTACTATTTATTGATATGCAAAAGCATACCCTTGAAATTAAATCCCGAAACTAGACAATTCAATACCCAAGTGTTATGATTCTTCCAACAAGAATTCCAGAGACATCAAACGATCGGATGGTCATCTTTGTGACCTGATCTCCAAGTTGGTGAATCCATAATGCTAGAAAACAGACAATCCGTGACAGAGATATTATTATGCTTGGTGAAACTTGCATTGATGAGGCCACCAGCTTCTACTAGCTCCTTGGATAGCAGCAAAGCTCTGATGGCTATCAGGGGACATTGAATGACTTGAGTTGAATAATTCATTACCTTTTAGTAAAGAAAAGCTTGCACGCACCTACCGTTATTACTGTGCTGCAGGGCTGTTAGGTTCTCATTTAAGAACTTTGCTTCTTTGCAATCTACCTGTCGAAGGACATGTTGGCCCTAGAAATTCTGGGGAGCACACATGGTGCTCACAGCATCACATATAGTTTTTTTTTGTTTTTTTCATAAATACTAAATTATATATGTTTTAATTAATTCTTTAAAATTAACAATTATATAAATTTTTAATAATTTTAAAATTTATAACATTCAAACTAATAATTTTTTTAAAATTAAATATAAAACCTGACCAATTAAATTATAACTCTCAATATTTAGAGAGCTTTTTATTAAATTATAACTCTCAATATTTAGAGAGTTTTTTTTCTTTTTTTCTTTTTCTTTTTACCAGAGCAGTGGCAGCACGAAATATTAGGAGATAGGCACAAAAAGTTTTGATATTTTTACAGGACATTAATTTTAGCATGAGATCGCTCTTTGTTTCATGAATAATTGTAACCATAACCAGAATAATTTATTATGGTATCTAATATTGTTTTTGTTGTTAATGTTGGAGTCCACTATTTTTATTAAGTACTTTTTTTTTCTACAATAAGTAAGAATAAAAATCTTAAAATCACATTAAGTATCATATAGAAACTATTAATTTTAGTTTATTAATAATATTTCTTTTTCTTTCTACATTTGAGTTTGATGTGTTTTCTACAATGCCAATAACTCATTTTAATTCATTGAGTTTGATAGAAGGATTTCTTGATGTATGCTTCTTAACACAGACAAAACTAAGAGTTGCAGACGTGACCACAAAGAATTTCAGACAGTACCGTAGCCAATCTTAACTCTGCAATTTCACCACCGAATCTTGTTCCTGATTTGACCAAAAGATGTTGTCATCAACTTGGATTAATTCATCTCGGAGTAGTTTTATTTGTGGCCTCAATGTAATCGCAAATCAATCTGAAGTTTTTGTTATCCAAATTCATGAATTAAGCTTCAGCTGGAAAGCTCAAATTAATGCATTACAGATAGCCAACCAGTGATGATTAATGTTAAATAGTTGTTCCGCGTTACGAGTTATATTAAATAATTTTAATATAAAAAATATATATTAGGGTGTTGCTAATTTTTCTAGTACAAAAAAAAAATTAAACTATTTAGCAGCTAACTTGAAGTAATTTGATTAAGATAATAAATAACTTAAATAACCCGTAAAAATATGATTTAATTAAAAAATTTAAATTTTAAAAATTATTAAAATAATAATATATTAAAATAGAATCAGCCAAAAGTTATTTTGTTAAATTTGTATATTAAATTATAAGATTATAATAATTTTATATAAAATAAATAAAAACAAAATATAAAGTTAAATTTCTAATCAATAATATGTTAAATAATAAAATTAAAAAAATCAATAATAATAAAAAATGACTCAGTTAACTTGAGTTAACCTATACAATCCATTACTCAAGTCATAACACTAGCATAACCTCATATAAAACAAATTAAAATAAATAATGGATGAAATTTAAAAAAAATTAATTAAAAAATTATAAAAAGAAACTCAAGTAAGCTCAAATCCACAACTCGGGTTATGTGATCAAAGTAGCCCTATGGAAAGTAAATTAAAATAAATTATAAAACTTAATTTTCAATCAACTTAATGTTAAAGAATACAATTGAAAAAATTAATTAAACAAAAACACAAAACAAGACCTCAATCAACTCATCTTAACTATCAAACCTATAAACTATGTCATGAGATAGAGATAACTTTATAAAAAATAAATTGAAAAAACAAAGTCAACTTAGGTTAACCCACCAAACATGTGACATGATCATGAGACTGATATAACTCTATAAAAAATAAATTATAAAGTTTAAATTTTAATAAACTCGTTGTTGAATGATGAAATTTGATTTATCTAAAAAAACATAACAAAACAACCTAAATCTATCCAAATTAACCTGTAAAAAATATAATTTGAATTATAAGATCATGATAACCTCTTAGAAAATAAACCAAAATAAATTATGAAACCACAAAAAAAAATCAGATTGCCCGTAAAACAGATCATGAGTTGAGATAACTATATAAAAACCAAATTACAGTAAATCATGAAATTCAATATCTAATAAACCACATGTTAAATGATAAATTTAAAGAAAAAACATAGATTAAAAAAGACAAAAAAAAAATCTACTATAATGAGTAATGTTTTGTGAGTTGGTTCTCCTAAAAAACACCACCTCATCTAATTTTTTAGCAAACCACAACAAAATCATAAGATTTAATCTCCAACAAATTAAATATTAAATGATAAAATTAAATTAAAAAACATATTATTACGATTAATAGTATTTTATGAGGTGATGCACAATAAAAACACTATATCTTTTAGTTTTTGTTTTTCAAATCACAATAAAATATAAAGTTTAATTCCTAATAAATCAAATTTTAAATGATGAAAATTACTAGAAAAAACATAGATTGAAAAAAAGCAAAAAACAAAACACTATTATAATAAATAATGTTTTGTAAGGTGATGTAAAGTAAAAGCAACACCTCTTTTATTTTTTTAGCAAACTCCAAAAAATCATAAAATTTAATCTCCAACAAACTAAATAATATCGAATAATGAAATTAGAGGAAAAAAATATTTTTTTTAAAAAAAATACTATTACAATGAATAGTATATTTGCATAGTAAAATTACAACCTTTTTTTAGCTCTTTTTTTGTTAATTTATCATAGTTAATTGAGAAAATATTAAGAATAATATTTGTTAAATAATAATATAAATCATATCTTGAAGTCTTATTTAACAATATAAACTTTTGGGTTGAGATGATTCTTTAACAATAACTCAAAACCTTTTCAACAAAATAGTTACGAGTTTGAATCTCATTATTCACATTATATTTAATAAAAGTAGACACAAAAAAGTGGTGGGTCTACATAAGTTATTAGTTTAAAAAGTTTTTATTTGAAGAAGGTATTAAAAAATAATATAAATTATATATTAAAATTTCACCTAACAACTTAAGTTCTTAGATTGAAATAGTTATTTGACGATATCCAATTATATATATAATCTTAATATTGCCTCAAAATAATTATTTTATTATCAATTTTACCTTTTAATTAAATAAAAAAGTTATTAAAGACTTTCATATATTTATAAAAAAATTTCATCCCATTGTTCTTTTTTTTTTTCAATAAGTGAATTCATTTTGAAAAAAATAAAAATAAAATCATTAATTAATCTACTAAAAATCTTAATTGAAAAAATAAAATAATTTATGAATAACATTGACGTTATCATAATAACATGGTAACATGGATATATATTTCTATATAAAGATGACTTAAAATATCCTTTTTATCATAAGAAAAAGATTGTAATAGTGACAACTAGTTAATTTTACTTCATTTAATGGGTGGTGCATTGGTTGAGATATCAATTGATCTTACCTCAATCTTTAAATTATTATTTATTATTTATTATGAAATGGTATTTGTTTGTGTGTATAATTTTGATTGGTCGTAACAATCTTTTTTTTAACGACAAGGAAATAAAGTGGGATGGGATTGTATCATTCCATTTTCTATAGGATGATAATTAAAGAAGGTGAATTCATCTTAGATTCCTCCACTAATAGGAATGCTTAAAATAGCCTGATTATTGTTTTTATTTGGTTTTAATTTTCATTTCTTTGATTACGGATCTTTTATTTTCTCTATAAGTTTCCTGACTTTACAAACTATTTATGTTTTTTCTGTTACATCATGCTCTAAATGGTTATAACATATGCTTTATAATCATGCATAATTCATAAAAATAAAAATAAAAGTATGGGGATATATTGTGATGTCCTGCCCTCATAATCTGCAAATGATCAGTACGGGCCCTTCCAACCACCATTTGTCATAATTGGGACAGTCGTGAAGAGCCCCTGCTGCCTGGCAACAAACCACGTGTCACAAATCAGCCATCCATCTTTCTGGCAAACCCATGCCTGCTAGAGGACACCTCAGGCCTGGGTTAATTACAAAACAGCATCTGAAACGCTACGGAGGCTAAGTCCCAAGACACTTGAATGTCCATCCACATACACAACCAAAAAAAACGCTTTAGACGAACAGGCAGACTCGGTGCATGGAAAATTTGAGAGCTCAAAACTCTGAACACGCATTCAACTCCATTTACTACCCTCAACTGCCCCTACCGCTCATTTGGCCTTTAAAAAGAGGCGAACCCAGCAAGCACTGAGGTACTAAGAAAAAAGATTCAGAGCTAGAGAGATGGCAAGGAGTTACGTTTGTTTTGCGTTGGTGCTCGCTCTTGCAGCAGTGCACACTAGTGCTAGAGACGTGCCTACTGAAAAGGACATGCATGTTGCTAGCACCAAAAATGCGCCTACTAATGCTGGTCTCACTGACCAAAAGAACTTTGTTACATATGGTGGTGTTGGTGGCTATTCTGGAATCGGTGCTGGTGGCCTCCCATTTGGTGGCGTAGGGGGGATTGGTGGAGTTGCTCCTTTAGATGGTACTGGGTTCGGAGGACTAGGTGGTGGAGGCGGCTTGGGTG